ATATTGGAACCACAGATGCCATTTTCCATTAAGCAGGAAAACAAGACTCAGCCAAACACTTGTTAAATAGTTTAGAGAGAATTGAAGAAAGTTCTGGAGAACAATTCTGCAAGACTGTGACAGGAATGTTGTCTGGACCACAAGCTGTAGACGAGTTTAATTGAGATATGACTTAAGCAACAGAAGCCGGAATGATTTAAATGTCTAACAATGGGTCAACCTGTTTGAGTGGAATGGAAGGAGAATGTTCATAAGATTCAAGAGTGGAATTAGAAGAAAAGTTCTTTGCAAATACCTCTGCCTTATCCTTGGGAGAGGTAATAAGATCAGTCCCATGAATGAGAGATGGAATGTTAGATCTACCCTTGTTAATAATGCTGTTGAGGACTTTCAAAAAGTCTTTAGAGCCTAACTTCTGCAATAAGATGCGAGATTTGGTGAACTGAGAATAATGGAGTTTAGCATTTAGATAACTATGACGCCAAGCTGATAGGGCTTAGATTTTTTGACAGGTAATACGTAAGACATTACCAATATGTTGGTGTAAAAATCTAAACAAATAAATAACAAATTTATTAAAACTTTTGACATGACAAGGTATAAAAAATTAGTTACAATTTCTGTATATAAACAATTTAATTGGCTACATTAAAAATTTAATAGTTTTTTACAGTAGTTTAGTTGATAGTTAATAGTTTAAGATTTTAATTGTGTATTAAGAAAAGGTTTTTAAATCTCATTATGAATCTCTTCCTTAATTCTTAGTTTATACTTGGAGGAAGCTCTGTCAATAATGGAAAAGCAATCAGTTTTGTTGAATTTTTGTATTTTTGTGATGAATTGAGGTGTTTGTAAATACAGGAAGCCTTATCTGAATTTAAGTGTTCTGAAACCCTTGTTGTATAGTGTCTGGTGATTTCACCAATGTATCCAGCATTACAGCTGGAACAAACAAATTTATAGACAACAAAGGATTTTAAACTTGAGGGTAAGGGGTCTTTTGATGAAAACATATTACTTATTTTAAAAGGATTTAAAATTAGTCTTGCTTTTATATTATCTTTACAATATTATTTTTTATTATATTTATTTAATTGGTGTTGAAGTGTATTTGAATTTTTTTCAATGTAAGGGAGTTTAAAGTAATGTATATCAGATGGTTTTAAAGATGACATGTTTTTTTTTAGTAGAGTCAAGATTGTTTAGTAAAATTTTTAAGGTTTTGTCAATAAAGTTCAAGGGGAAAGAGTTTTTTTGGAGAGTTTTTTCAATTTTTACAATACCTAGATGAAAACTTACCAAGTTGTTGTTAATTTTGAAGACCCTGTTAGTCAAAGTTTTAATGAGTCTTATTTTTTAATTAATATTAGAGAAGCTGGTAAAATTAGTCAGTAAACTTGTGTAAATTTTTTTATAAAACATTGAAGTACCAAATATACTATTTATTTAGTTAATCATTATATCAAGAAAGTTCAATTTTGTGATCAACTTCTTCCTCTTTAGTAAATTTGAGATTCGGATGTTGTTTATTTATATATTCTAGAAAAGTGACCAAATTTTGTAACCATATGTTTTCGTGATTAGCCATAAATAAGTTAGTTAAAGCAGGAGCTAGTGGAGATCTCATGTCAATATCCGCTATTTGATCAGATTGATGGAGTTGCCATGAGATCCATGGGATTTATCTTGTTTAAAATTTCATGATAATTATTTATTTTATGTAACTATGGTAACTATTATAAAAAACTAATAAATTTTTTTTTATTAAAAAATATTAAATTTTATTAAAAAATATTAAATTTTTAATGTAGCCAAAAAAATTGTTTATATACAGAAATTGTAACTAATTTTTTATACCTGATTATGTCAATTGATATTGATGAAACATGTTGTTAAAAAGATTAAAAAAAATTGTTATTTATTTATATATATATATATATATATATATATATATATATATATATATATATATATATATATATATATATATATATATATATATATATATATATATATATGTATATATATGTATATATATATATATATATATGTGTGTGTGTGTGTGTGCGTGCGTGCGTGCGTGTGTGTGTGTGTGTGTACATTCAAATGGTCCAAAATTTACACATTATTTAAAATGCAGACTCGACAACCCTAAATGTGTTCTAAATAATAACATAATACTGGAGTTAAAAATTCTTTTTAAAAAAATATTTTTAGGGGTAGCAGTAAAAAAGTTCCTTAAAAGTATATAATGTTAGATATCAAAAGAAGTGAAATTTCATAAAAATTTCAAAAATCATTTTATAAAAAGATTACTAGTTTAAATTTTATGGTTTAAAAACTATCATTTTTTAACAAAATAATTAAAAATACCTAATAAATCTAATAAATTATTATTAAAATTGAAAACTAGATGATTAAATTTTTTTCAGCATAATTTGCAATTTGACAGAAGTTAAAATGTAAAAAAATTTTAATTGTTTTAACTTTAGTTACTACAACTATTATATTTATTATTAATAATATTTGAAAACCATTAAAAAGTTTCATTTATCTATCCTAATTAAAATTTGTCATTTATCAATCATAAATATTTTTAATTTTATATTTAAATAAAACAAAAAGTTTTATCCTTTTTTTTCTCAACAAAATCTTTCTTCATTTCAGCCTATTGACTTTAATAATTTTTATATAAAGTTTATAAAAGAGAAACCATTATTTAAAGTTGTGGCTTATAAAATTTGATTTTTTTTTTTTTAATTACATTTATTATAAAAAAAAAACTTATATAATTAAATAATATATTTAAAAATTTATACAACTTTTATTAATACTTTAGTTGAATCATTAGTTACTCTATTTAAAAGTAACTAATGCAATGATGGGTTATATATCATGCAAATTAAAATTAAAAAAATAGAACTTCATTTTATTTTTTTAAAATATTTTATTTAACCATAGAAAATAAAAATTTACAATAATATTTTATAAAGTCGCATAAATAAGGTGTCACTCATATAGTTAAAACTAGTCAATGAAGTGACACCAAGGAAAAAAAAAAGAAAAAGAAAAAAAAACTATAACTAAAACATAGAAAAAATTAAAAATAAATTAAAAGGGAAAAAAAATTAAAAATAAATTAAGAAATAAAAAAATAAAGCACTAATAAATAAAATTAATAATAGCAACAATGTAATAAAAATAATAGTAATATTATTAATAATGAGAATAAAAAACATTATAAATAGTAACTACATCATGATAACGTTACTAAAAATGAAAACTAATGATCAAAACTATGGTAAATATAATTATAGCAAAGTTTATAACTATGACAGAAATTATTAAAATAAACATAAAAATTTCAAAAATTATAACAATATTCATAAAACTATTACCGCAATTCAATCACTACCAGTGTCATTATAAATAATATTACAGTGTTTTTCAAAGTTATTAGTGCACGTTTGCAAAGTTATAAGTGCATTTATAAAATTAATTTTAATTACTTTAAATATCAATAGAAAGAAAAGTACGGAAAACAATTACAGAAGAAACTAAAAATACAATTATTTCAATGAAAAACTTTAAAAAAAATCAATCAAGGAAATATCCAAAGCTTGTAATTTAACTCTTAGTTGTGTTATAAAAAATAGTGATAATAATATAGCCTTCACGTCACCTACAGTAAAAAGAAAAGAAACATATAAATTAAAAAATTCTATAAATACAAACAGACAATATTTAATAATGTGGTCTGTAACAATGCTGTAGTTCAAAAAGAAATTCAAAAGAGAATTCGATCTCGCTTGTTTTCCGTAAATTAAAGAAATTAAATTTGGCACGAAAAAGATTTACAATCATCCAAAATAAAATTAATTTTTATTGAATATATACTCAAATTTTGATTAAGAAGAAGAACATTGGTAATAAAAGGGTGTTTAAATTTTAGATTATCTTGATAGCCTTGAAAAGTTATCTAAAAAAAGTTACTTATGTGGTCCATTCACATGGCTTGCAAAATAAATAAGTTTACTAAAGCATACTACATTTCAAAAAGTCAGACATGCAAAGGTTTCAAACCTAACCAAATCAAAAAGGTTTCAAAGCCAAAAAGGTTTCAAAAAGTCAGACATGCAAAGAGATTTCAAAAAGTCAGACATGCAAAGGCAAAAAATTGATGAAAAAGAAAAAAGAAAGTTAGATAAAAAACTGCATGTGCCGTTTTTAAATAAAATTTAATTTTTTTTTTTAGAATTTGTATAAAAACTTGGATAAATTAGAATTATATTCCTTGAATGGCTTGACTTAACTAATTATCTGACTTGAATGATTTACTTTATTAAATAACTGTTGGTAAAAAACTCTGCTTTAAATGTTTTGATTCTGATAATACCAATTCAGTTGTGTATAAATGTGTAATGAATAAAATGGGAGAAGTAAACAAAAGCAAAAGGAGACAATTTATACCATTTCTTACTGGAAACAAAATCTGGCTAGATGATTGTGCACTTTAAGTGTTACTCATGTGATAGTAAAATAAGTACTGTGTGTGTAAATTAGGAAAACAATAATTTATAAAATTAAATAATAAAGTTATATTGCATGTAAAAGTAGATTATTTACACACACAGACATAAAATGATATATATATATATATATATATATATATATATATATATATATATATATATATATATATATATATATATATATATATATATATAATATATATATATATATATATATATATATATATATATATATATATATATATATATATATATATATATATATATATATATATATATATATATATATATATATATATGATATATGATATATGATATATGATATATATATATATATATATATATATATATATATATATATATATATATATATATATATATATATATATATATATATATATTAATTTAAATATCCAATATGTTGTTTGAAAACAATTTCACAATCCTTAAATTAAAAAAAATATATACTTGTTCAACTCGACTTTCTATTGGTACCAGATGCAAAAAAATTTAAATGGGGCTGAAATACTTTATACTGAAGCTATTATACTTTATTTTAAACCACTACAGTTATTTGATTTAAAAACAATGTCTCACACCCATTTATTGTCTAAGTTATAGCTTTCTCGCATTACATAAATGCTGCGATTTTACTACTGTTAGTCCGGATTGTTATGCGGAGTTTTATGTCCGAATATTTTAATGTAACATCCGGAAACTTGTTATGCGATAGCTAGTTGTTTATTCTGGATATTGTAAAGTTTATTAATACTACAATTACATTTCTTGATCTGTTTAAAAATAAACTAAAATTATTACTTTTAAATAATGAGAAAATGTGAGATTAATCTTTAATTTTATAAAAGATCTTATAAGATATATAATAAATCATCAAATTTTTGGGTTTTCAAAGCCGCTTTCTGAGGTGCAACTGCTAACAGGACTAGATGCGATGCGTTATATAATGTATTTGCGAGCAACCTATGCCAAATATAATTTTTCAAATAATATCAAAGTTAAATATATTGAAACTTTTCATAAACTTCCTGAAAAATCCAACAAAAAGAATAAAGCAGCTTCAACAGCAATTCAGGTCTTAGAAATATAGGAAAAATGCAACATACCTACCGTGTCATCATTTACATCATTGACAAAGTGAGTTTTAACCTATTTAAGCAGAGCAAAAAGCTTCAATAAAAAAAAGAGAAAATAAAAACAATAACTTTTAGTTCTATAAGGACAAACTAGCTTAACTCATTGATATAACTGCTTGCCAATGCAAAGATTTAAAAAAATGCTGCTGGGCCAAAGTTAATATGGTATCAGCTATAAAGCACACTTTTCTGGAAGATTGAACGTAAAATGAGTATTGAATCAATTGACAAAAATTTTTCAGCAAAACTCCAGTACACCCAAAGCAAACAGAGCTCAAACCTTAATAATGCAATGCAACTGGATTCTATCGTTTCTGCCACACCCAGTACTTTAAAGCGACATGCTATAGATGAAAACACTCCATCATTCTCATTATCATCTTCAAAACAAATGCGATTGTCTCTCCCTTCCCTTTATTAGTCTGCGACTGCCATGGACTTTCAGACTTATTAACTATAATTTAGTTAATAAGTGGCAAGAGTGCTTGGATTAAGGAGTTATAGTTAGCACTATGTTTATGGATTTATCAAAAGAATATGATTCAATTTCAAATGATTTGCTTATAGCTAAGTTAGAAGGTTATGGCTTTTTTTCGATAGCTTCAAACTCTTATTATCTTCCCAGAGCAACGAATCTTACAAATCTTAATAAGATTTCCTTATAAGATTCTAAGTAAGAGTTGCAAGAAAACTAGTAAGATCTTATTAAGATTTGAAAGTTTTTGAGCGATAATAAATAAAGATTTGTAAGAAATGTAAGATCTTATAAAGAATTTGTAACTTTACGTGCGGTTTCTTATAGATGAATTTCAAAGTGACGTCGCGCGTTTACATTTTTTCGGACGCGAAGGACACTGGCAGGATAGAAAGAAAACACGCAAAAGAAAATGTGGAGTGAATCTGATTACTTTTTAACATTAGAAGAAAACAATAAAGATGCATATAAAAAAAAATTAACTTTGTCAAATGGAATGTTACTCCCTGACCCTTTCGTACTTGAAAATTGGAAAAACGACGTTTCAATGATGCCCGACATTACATGGGGTGACATGTACAATTACCTTATTAACTCCCCAAGTAACTTTACACACGATTCAATGAAAGCCTATAAATCATTGGAATCGTACAACTTTTACATTTGTGGGCATGTTCAAGATGTATACTATAATTTAATTGAAGAAACGAATGAATTTTGTTTCATTAAATCTGAGGTAATTTTGCATATTACAAAGTAAAGTTCACCGTCAAAGTGCAAAAAAAAAGTGTTTGAAAAGTTAAAACCATAAAATTTATTTTGAGTAAAATGTAAAATGATATACGTTTTTACTTATTTATTCAACTTTTAATTTATTAAAGGTGCTTCCAAGTCAAAGACAAGGAAAGAAGCAGAAATGTTACGAAGTGTGGGTTGCAATAAATAAAGTTAATGGGTGGATTTTAACGGCAAATTGCAAATGCATGGCAGGGTAAGTACATTAATTAAATAATTTAATTCTAATTTTATTTTAAACAAGTATTTTAAGAAATTTAATTGGTTATTCATTTTTGAAACTATAGATTGGGCTCTGTGTGTAGTCACATCGGTGCTTTGTTGTTTAAGCTTGTTGCGTGTGCACAGCTCGGTTTAAATAAAATATCTTGCACAAGCACATTGTGCAGTTGGAAAAAATCACGCAAATCAGCAACCCCAGCCCCACTAAAAAAAATAAACTTTTCGCGACCAAAGAAGCGTGAAACTCTTCCAAATATTAGTGACAATGAAAACTCACAGGATGAAAGACCTTACAGCTTTAAGGATCCTACACCAACTTCAGATAGTAAAAAAAAAAAGTTGCTAGAACTAAAAAAATTGTATAAGAATGCTGCTGTTCTTCAGTCTGTAGACATTAAAAATGAAAGCAAAGAACATTGTAGTGATACAGATACTGCGGAGGAGGATGACAGTTACAATGAATATAATTTGCCGGAACCACTTACTTCACTATATTTGCCTGCATCAATTAATTTAGATGATTCCACCTTAACAAAATATTGCGCAGAATCATACGAGGAGTACAAAATCACTCAAAGTGTTAACATGTACAGCAATTTACTTAAAGTTACAAATATTCAAAGCGCTAGTAGAATCTGGAAGTTGCACAGGGCAGGTAGAATAACAGCATCGTTATCAAAAACTGCGTACAACATAAAAGTTGATAAATACCCTAAGTCGTTTATAAACACAGTGATGCAATACAACGCAGAATTCATTACAAAACCTACGAGTTATGGTAAGAAAATGGAGACTGTAGCAATAAATTCTTACAAGCAATTTGTCGCAAAAACACATACAAATATAGTTGTTACAGAAACTGGATTGCATGTTCTTCACAAAAATCCATGTCTTGGTGCTTCACCTGATAGTATGGTGTGTTGTGATTGTCATGGTTCCGGTGTAGTGGAAATTAAGTGCCCATATAAGTATAGAAATGGGTTAGAAAATTGGAAAACAGATACGGATTTTCCTGTAAATTTTGACAATACAGTAAAGAAAACACACCAGTATTACTTTCAAGTGCAGCAAGAAATGTATATTACTAATACTACATACTGCCATTTTTACATTTGGACCGAAGGAAAAAATGAAAATGATACAATGTTAATTAATGTTCCGATTGATAGGGTCTTTTGTGAAAAACTGGAAACAAAGTTGACAACAATATTTTTTAAATTTTTACTACCTGAAATAGTGTCTAGAAAAAATGATCCTAACAACCTTTTGAGCGATCAAACATACTGCATTTGCAAACGTCCAAGTTTTACACCAATGATTGGATGCGACGGAAAAAACTGCAAAATAGGATGGTTTCATTACAGTTGTATTGAAATAAAAAATGCCCCTAAAGGTAAATGGTTCTGCAAGGAATGCATATAAATAAACTAAAGGATATATTATATTTATTAAATATCTTACTTTGTCAACGACATTTTGGCACTTTTTTCAGAAATAAAAAATCAATAAACTGTTAACAATTCTTATTATTTAGTAATATAAAATTTACTACTCTCGAGTCTTTATTAGAAGGGTAGGGGGGATTTCTATTAAATTTTTGAAAACTTTCCCACCTACCTTAAGCTTATTAAGACCACTCTGTTTATTAATTTTCACTTGTTATCAACAAAAAGTTTCTAAAACTATCGAAACTAAAAAAATAATTCAGTGAAAATCGGCCTTATAATTTACAAAATATATACTAGTAACTAATAAATAATAAAACTTTTAGTATAAATTCTCACCCCCTACTTTCATTAGATCTTGACAAACCACCCCCTTCCCCTTGTATTAAGGACTCGAGAGTACTTGAGACAATCCAAATGTAAGATAATACAAAATAAAGTTAAAATAAAAAGGTTTTTCACTCCTATGAGCTTGGAGGAACAACACTACTGTTAATATTTACTAATGAAGTTATTGTTACCATAACATCATCAAGTAAATCAACTTGAGTTAATGGGATAATGTTCTGAAGAATTCGAAATTTTCTTAACCGTCCAATTACCCTTTCAACATGGATTCTTACATGTGCAATTTGACGTGATTCATCAACTTCAGCAGAAGACATCTGCTTTTTTCCTTTGGTAAACTTTGGTAATTTTAAAATCCCACCTTTTGTAGCAAATTCTTCAACAAGTGTAAATCCTCTATCAGCAAGTACACAATCTCCATGGGTTATTTTTTCTAAAAATCCAGATTTAATTGTAATTTCTTTATCTGAAACTCTACCACCCCATCCAGGGGATAAAAAACTTACAGCACCTGATGGAGTTATACCAATGAGATATTTAATTGTGTTGTTGTTTTTATAATTTGACCAAGTTTGAGCTCGAGCATGAAGACTAAAAGGTCTTTCAATGAGTATTTCCATGCAATCAATTATTGCAACACAATTATAGAACTTTTTGCAAAAACTTGTTGGCAAATTTCTTCGCAAAACATGCTTTTCTGGCCAAACAATTAAAAACTTAACATTTTCAGCAATAATTGGAAGCCAAGATCTATATATTCTAGTGACTGTTGGCTCAGAAAAACCAAATCTAAAGCTCAAGTCTTTATTTAAAAATCCAAGTTTGATTTTCATTAATATTAGCAATAAATGGTCTTCCATTGGTATATTTTTCATTGGTTTTACACAATCTTCAAACAATGATAAATACCACAAAAATAAATTTGCATTTGGCAAACCAGTATAAAAAGATAAAAGTGAATTATCATCTTTTAGTTTTTCAAACGAAATATATTGAGAAACAGATGATGTTATAGCTTTGTTTATTGTAATCTTTAATTCAACATTATTTTTACTCAAAGTTTTGACTTTAGAATGTAGCTCAGCAACAAAATTAACATCATCAGTCTGAGATTCTAAAAACATAATTATGTAACCATTTATTTTATCAAAGAACGAAAGTAAAATCTAAAAATTAAATTAAAACTTATTTACCTTGATTTAATTTGAAAGGGTCGACTGATGTTACTGCATCCATATTAACTGACATCTGTTCATTTTCAGCTTTTGTTTGAGATAAATTATCTTCAGTATTTTTTTTTGTTCTTTTACAACTTCTTTCAAATCTTTCAATACTTTGATGTTTTTTTGAAAAAGATTGCTGTCTGTATAAAAAAACAGATGGAACATAATCAGGACTATTAGGATTGTCTGATTTTTTGCCTAAAAATAGAGAAGAAAAAAAATTAAAACCTTATTTATTTTATTAAAATAATGAACTTATGTTAAATTAAATAAAAACAAAGATAATAATAATATTATAAAAACTTCTAGTTATCAAAAGAAAAAAAAAAATTAAATACCTGAAATAAAATGTTTACTACATAATCTTGCGTTATCAATCATACTTATTGGCCAGTTTTTACGTTTTAAGGCTTGCAACCATAAAACTCTTCTGTTTTTTGATGTTTCTGTATTTCCAAAAGGAATGCGGTAAAAACTCAAGTTTTTATCGCCTTTTATCCTTTTATTCATACACCCTATAGCACAACAACTGTCAGGCATTATATTTTAAGAATTTAAAAAAAAATTTAATCTAATTAAGTTAGCAAGCAGATTAATTATATCAATGTTTGTTTAATAAACGTTCTCAATGTTTGCAAATCGGTTTTTAAATTCCTGCCACCTAGTGCGCATGCGACGGAAATGTAAACATTGAAATTCATCTATAAAGATTTGTAAGAAATGTAAGATCTTAAAAAGATTTGTAAGATTTATTTTAATTTCTTAGTAAGATTTCCAAGTTATAGTATGAATTCTTAGTAAGATTTGTAAGATCTTATAAAATTATTTTGTATTTATTCCGATACTACTAAATTCCAATGATATTTTCGCCTAGAGAATGCTACAAATAAAACAATTAAGTACTTTAATTAATTTTTTCTCGAAACAAATTCATAATTAATAATACAACAGTGCTCAAGTTATAGTATAAATAATATTTATAATTTATAATACAACAAGTCACTTATGCAAGAATATTCCATACTGCATAGACACTTTAAATAAGAAAATTGTTATTTAAAACCTTTAAAAGAGAAAGTATTACCGACGAACTATAATAATACTCATAAAAACTTTTAACTAAACTTTTATCAGGTGCTTACAAATCAAAACACAAATAACGAAAGTCAACTTTTTAATAAGTAAGAAAACAATGCAATATAAAACTGCGCGCAGTTTAACTATTCAAATAATTTTGTTTTAAATCAAGTCCCATCTCACTAATATCGTTTACAGCTGTGTCAACAGCCTGTTCAATAAAGGGTTTTACGATTGCGTCTGACCACTAAAGCATTTTAAAATTGAGTTGTGTTTACATAAAATTGTTTAGAGTAACTTTTTCTGTTTTTATATTTTTTTATTGACTTCGTAAAACTTTAAATTGGCTCTACCAAGAAATTTTGTGCCAAATTAATATTGTCTTATGACAATTCGTCAAAACTGTTTGAATATGATCATGTACAAAAATAAACTAACAGTCATATATAACATATATAAAGCTAAATTTATCAAACACAAAATGCTGTTTTTATTAAAATCAAAAACATAAACTAATGTGGGTTTCGTCCAGTAGTCTTCAAATAAATATAATATTTAATAACTATTTCTTTTCTTTTCCCAGTGTTCCAGGGGATGTAAGATGTTGTTTTCCTAAAGCAAATAAATTAAATATAATACAGGGTGTCGGCCAATATTTAAAGATGGATTTCCCCGACTTTTTCCTGATTTAAGCCTGTTTTCGCTGACTTACTTTAAAGCAACGAAAGCTCAACTTTAGAAAAAATCTACTTAAACTCGTTCAAAAAAAAAGCTTTAGTGCGAATATATATAAATATAATTACAAGCAACATTCAAATTATCAATAAAAGGCCATAAAAAAAATCTTCTGAATAAGTTTTTACATTATGTGTATGATACAAAACTGACTTTGGTTATTTACATTTGCCCTATAGTTATTTTCCCTAATTATTTCAAAATACAACCAAATTTCCCTGATTATTCCCTGGTCTTTTACAGAAATCTAAATTCCCTAATTTTCTTGATCAGGCCGGCACCTGTAATAACTTCCAAATAATCTTTATACATATTCTGAAAATGAAATATTGCATTATTTTTTAAATATGGAAACTGATTATTTTAAATTGATTGCACAGTTGTTATAGTTTTTCCCAATTATTGGGGTATGTACTTTTCCTTAAACAACTAAAATTCATTAAATAAATCTTAACCATAGACTGTATAATATTATTATTAGAAATGCATATATTACATATTATTCTAAAATATTACAATTAAACATCTGAAATTTTACACTTTTATTAAAGAACTTGTTATTGCAAACTCATTTACAAGTTGATTTTGCCACAAATAACATAATTGAATTTTCGTTTTCGCAACCATTAACAAGTTTTTGTTTTGTGTTCATCATATTTGAATATTCTGAAAACGTATCAAATGTAACTGAAAATTGCATTATATTAGACAAGCTCTATATTGTATTAGGAATTATTTGAGTATTTAAAAAAAAATTTACAGCTTTCTTACTCTCAAATCATCAAAAACTGGTTAAATTTGTGCACTACATAAAGTATATCTTTCTTCTCATTCCATAATAAGGAGTTTAAAAAGAACAGTTGGTGTTGTTCAATTTATCCCTATAAATTATTAGTGGCTTGTACTTGCTGAAATGGTCAGAACAGATTAGTGATGCCAAACTTATATATATATATATATATATATATATATATATATATATATATATATATATATAATATATATATATATATATATATATAACTATATAACTAATGCTAACATGTAATTCAGTACACCTGCTTGATATCAGACAGGATCCTTATTTACATTGAAGAAACTTACCTATAGCAAATTCTGATATATAACCACAGTTTAATTATGGGGGCAGATAGTAGGAGCTTGTAATCCTTGAACATTAATCTTCCTAGTTACAATAACAATTCTTTGTACTGGTCTACAAAACAGTTATTGTCAGGAAGGGCAAGTGGTTGTAAGAAAATTACTTTATCTCAAAATTTTTTAGTTTTAATTTTTTTTGAATAAAAAATACTTTAAGGAACTTGTTTTTAAAACAAGTTTATAAAAAATGATTATTATTTTTAATTTTTTTTTGTATAATTTTGCTTCTTGATTAACAGGATAACAAGCATTTAATTATATAGAACACATTTATGGGTTGTTCCATCAATTTATTTAAAAAAGTTTTTTGAGCACCACCCTAATTTACATATACATATACATATATAAATTAGGGTGGCTGCTCCACATATAAATTGGTGCTCTTTTTAACTTTAATTTTTTTTTTCAATAACCCTGCTTTTTAAAAAGCATTGCAGTATAATATACAATTAGTTTTTTTATAAATGACATTGTGTTTTTTTTTTAATTACAACGATAATTATACTTTCGTAAGAAAAATGAGAGAGCCGTAAATTATTCCCATAAACCATTTAAATATATATATATATATATATATATATATATATATATATATATATATATATATATATATATATATATATATATATATATATGTATATATATATATATATATATATATATATATATATATATATATATATATATGTATATATGTATATATATATTTATACATATATATATATATATATATATATATATATATATATATATATATATATATATATATATATATATATATATATATATATATATATATATATATATATATATATATATATATATATATATATATATATATATATATATATATATATATATTAGGGTGGATCGATTTTCATAGCAAAAAAAAAAAAGTTTAAAAATTAATATTCCTGAGACACGAATCGATGTCTATTAATTATAAGAGGAAAGTAAAAAAATATTTTTTGATTTTGATGAGATCTTGAGGTTCCTCTTTGGATTCTAAATCCTTGACGGATCCTAATAATTTTGAATTTTTTTTTTTCTAAATTATATCAAACTTAGACTCAAAAAAAGCAGAAAGCAGCTTGTTCTATCAATAATAATTTTATTAAAAAAAATTTTTGTGAAAAAAATATTTGCAAAAATATACCTTAAAACCCCCGTTTTGATGAAGACAGGGGTTTTTCGATGAAAAAAACGACATTAAGACATTATATATATATATATTTTTTAAACGACATTAACTCTTTAGTATTGATGCAACATGTTCTACAAGCTAAGGAAGATTTATAAATGATGCACCTGAAAAATATTCAAATTGTAAATAAATTGTAACCAAAAATATTTTTTGCAATATGAAGTTTTTTGCGGTAGAAATATTTATTTTTTGCGGTATTTGAAAAAATGGCATTATAAATTTTTCCTTGAGAGAAATGCAATAAATTTATAAAGTAACATTAAAACTAAATTATTTTGAGTTTGTATGAATAAAAGAAATTGAATTTTAATTTTAAAAACAACTTCAAACATACACATTTAATATTTTTAACTGGTCAAACATGCTCCTTTTTAGCAACAGGTTTTCTTTTTTTTTATCTCCTTCTGAATTGTTTTTTGTTCTTCATAAATCTTTTTCCTTTCTTTCTTTCCTTTTCCTTTTTTTTCTCTTTTTCATCTTCTTTATATATTTCCAAAACTTCGTGATTCGTAAAGATTCCATAACTAATTTTCTTGTCTTTCCTATTTGTTTTGCGTTTAATTGAGTCTGGAAGTTTGAGCACACCCTGAATTTAAATTGGAATTTCATTATGAAATGCTGATGTAAGTATATCAAGCTGCTGCTTCATAACTAAAGAATTCAGAACATAGTAACCAGGGGTGCAACGGCTCTGTATTTTAGAGACATGATGAAGAATAGATGTTGCCTTATCTATTGGTACATCAGAAGATTTTACATGAAAAAATCAACATAAAAGTATTTAATCAAAAAAATAAACCATTTTATTCATATTGACAATCTGTATGATAACCTTGAACAGGAGCTATTAGTTTATTACTGATAACATTTTTACTAGAAGAAGCTACCTTTAAAAAAAGTAGAAATTTTAAAACAATTAAAAGAGTTTTTTGCCTCTGAATGAAGCAGGTTCAGATGATTATCTACTCCAATACACCGCTCAAGATGAACATTCTAAATGTTTAGTGGAAAAATTCCTGTACCACGGAAACTATTAACTATTTTTGATTTTGTAATAATTCTATCATTAATCAGTTTGCAAATTTTTATAAACTCAATCTCATCAACCTCCTTGCAACCATTTTTTCTTTTCCAATTTGAAAAATATGAGTGCAATATGGAGGAAAAGATAATATGTGCCCGATTCTGCTGCCGATGTTGCCGCTTTACTGATAGATTTAGGTGTATGAAAAACTGTTCCAGGATTTCTTATAAGGAATGATCTTACCCAATATTTCGTTGGAAGTCAATTTTTGAACTGCCGATTATCTGAAGATTTTCGAAATATCCACACGTCTAAAGCTTTTGAACCTTTGTTTTAAGTATTGCCCAAATTAGATGGTATAACTAGCCATTTAACCAAATCTTTTTCTTCAAATTCAGTTAATACATTTTTTGGACCAGTTTTCTTCAGACTTCCTCCGTTATGTCGTTTTTTTAAATGCCAACTAATTGTTTGTTCTGATATGTCATACTTT